TAAACTCTCTTTTCCTTCCTTTGCCCTGCCGCCTCCGAACCTCCATCTTAAACTCTCTTTTCCTTCCTTTGCCCCCCCCGCCGGTGTGTCCCCGTCCCCCCCGGCGCCCCCCCAGCAGCGTTAGCAGTGCCAAGGGTGGCATGGCGTGGCCCGGCGGGGCTCAGACCTGCTCACCCAGTTCCACCTATCGCTACCGCAGCCTGGCACAGCCCCCCGCCACCGCCACCCGCCTCTCCAGCGTCTCCTCCCATGACTCCGGCTTCATCTCCCAGGATGCCGCTTACTCCAAACCACCTTCCCCCATGCCCTCGGACATCACCAGCCAGGTACGAGGTGGGGAGTGTCAGCGCCACTCACCCCTGTGCCTCAGTTTCCCCTTCTGTAGAAAGGGTGGGTACTGCTGGATGCAACACAAGGGTCCCGTGCGGAGGTGATGGGACCCCGCCCTAGGTGTGTTTCCAGCTGTGTTGGCATTACCGGAGATAAATATTGGGAATATTGGGGGATGCCTGCCCTGCGCCATAGGCCACACGGCAGAGAAACCCCATCTGTGACATTCCCCAGGAATGTGGCACAGGTATTCCCCTGCCCCATGCCAGGGGAACAGGGTATTTCCCAATCACCCCAGCCCCATAATATCCAGTTTGTGCCAGTCGCCCACCAGGCAGCATGGAGCAAGGCTTCCCCTTCACCCTGCATCCTCCCCAGTGCCGAGGATGCTCTGGGACCCCCCAGCACCCCCAAGGAGCTGCTGATCCCTCGCACTGGCTGTGCCGCCGGGTGCCTGGCACTGCCAGCACTGCCTGCCCACGCTAACCTGGCATCACCAACCCGGTGGGAGCCCCTGGGGATCCCAGCGCCGTGGCTGTGGGAACTGTCCCCGCTCCCCAAAATGACTGTTGGCTCTGCAGGGCTTGGGGTGAGCAGGGGGAAAGGTTGGGGCTGAGCATCCCAGCTTCACCCGGCCGGTGCCTCCCCAGCTCTGTGGCCCCCGCTGCCGGGTCGGATCCTGCTTGCCTTCCCGCATTGGCCACCGTGGGGGAGGCACGCTGGGGGCCTGGGTTGGGGGAAGCTGTGGGTGCTGCTCTAACCTGGGGCTGTGGCTCTGGCTGTGCTTCCTAACCACCTCTTCTCTCCCGCTCTGGCTCCTGGCTTGGCCTCACGGCACGGCAGAAGTCCTCCAGCTCGGCATCCTCGGAGGCCTCCGAAACCTGCCAGTCGGTTAGCGAGTGCAGCTCCCCCACCTCGGTTAGTTCTTGCTCTGCCGCCGGGGCATGGGCAGGTGGCAGAAATGTGAAGCCTTCATCAGCAGCACTCTCCTCTTCCTCTCCTCCCCACCCTGGCGCTGTCCCCCATCCCACCAGGGCTGCGTTTCACACATGGGCCCCCCCACACCTCATGGGATTCAGCCCCCAGATCCCCCCATCCCAGCTCCCCATGGGGCAGAGCATCCTGGGCAGCATCCATGGCTCAGGGAACATCAGTGCATGTCCCCTCCTGCCCTGCCCCGCTTTTGGCTCCTGGCCCTGGTGTCCCCGGCATCACCCTGTGCCTTGCCTGTTGCAGGACTGGTCCAAGGCCAGCCCCTACGACCAGCCAGTGGTCCCCACCCTGCAGCGGCGCAAGGACCGCGTGGAGCACCTGCGGGAAGCCGAGATGGGCTCACCCGCTGGCGGGTACCCGGGCATCGGTGGCGAGGATGCTCCCAGGCCCCGGATGTCACCGGCTACAATTGCCGCCAAGGTACCAGCTCCGATGGGAAGAACACAGAGGTGGTGGGCTTTTGAGGGGCTCTGAGGAGAGGAGCTGGGGTGCTGATGGTGCCCCCTTATCCCTGCAGCACGGGGAGGAGGTGTCCCCTGCCGCCAGTGACCTGGCCATGGTCTTGACGCGGGGGCTGAGCCTGGAGCACCAGAAGAGCAGCCGGGACTCGCTGCAGTACTCCAGCGGCTACAGCACACAGACCACCACCCCCTCCTGCTCTGAGGACACCATCCCTTCCCAAGGTACCCCCCCACAGCAGCGAGAGGCACCTGGGGCCACCCAAAATGGCACCCGGAGGGGGGAAGGGGACAGCAGAGGCTTTGGTGGTCCTGGGGCATGTCTGTGTGTGCCAGGTGTTGTAGTGTCAGGCTGTGGTCACATCACATAGGGGCTGGTGGGGTGAAGATTTGATGTGTGTTGGGGGGTTGGTGTGCAGCACAAGCATCATGCCACGCGGTAACCATGGGGCTTCCTGGTTATTGGGGCGTTAGTTGAGTGTTAGTTGGGTCTTGATGGCTACAGTTGTGCCAGGCAGTGCAATAACAGGTAGCATCACGGCAGGGTGTGGTTGGTGATGGTTTGTGGTGACGTGTTTGGGCACAGCAGTTGAGTACAGGTGGAGACGGTGGGTGATGGCAGCAGAGGTGGTGGTTGGAGATTGAGTAACCACAGGGACAGTCATGTTGCGCTGGGGTTGTGATGGCTGAGCCAGTTGTGAGCACATGATGGTGATGGAGCTTGGCTGTGATCACGCTGTGACAGCAGTGGTTGGGGTGGCTGTGATAGTGATGGTTGGGTTTGACTATGACCGTGTGGTGGTGACGGTTGAGGCCAGTTGTGATGGTCATGGCAGGGGCTGGTTGTGATCACATTGCAATGGTGACAGCTGGGTTTGGCTGCGATCTCAATGTGATGGTTGCGTTTGCTTGTAGTTGCCTTCTGATGATGGTTGGGCTTGATGGTGAGCATGTTGTGCCAACAGTGGTTGGGGCCAGTTGGGACTGAGTTGCAATGACAACAGTGGTTGCGTTTGGTTGTGGTCGCGCTGTGACAGCAGTTGTTGGGGCTGGCTGCGACTGCATTGTGAAGGTGGTGGTTGGGCTTGGCAGTGCCAGCTGTGCCACCCACTGCCCACCCATCCACGCTGACTGGTGCTGCACCCTCCCCAGGCTCCGACTACGACTGCTACTCAGTGAATGGCGACGTGGAGTGTGACCCCCAGAGCGACTTTGACAAGTCCTCCACCATCCCGCGCAACAGCAACATCGCCCAGAACTACCGGCGGATGATCCAGACCAAGCGTCCCGCCTCCACCGCTGGGCTGCCCACTGGCACCAACCTACCGGCTGGCACCACCCCAGGGGTAGCCACCATCCGCCGCACACCCTCTACCAAACCCTCGGTCCGCCGTACCCTCTCCAATGCCGGCCCCATCCCCATCCGACCCCCCATCGTCCCTGTGAAGACCCCCACGGTGCCCGACTCCCCAGGCTACACCGGCCCCACGCGGGTGGGCAGCGAAGAGTGCGTCTTCTACGCCGACGACACCTCACCGAACCCCCTGGATTTTGCCAAAGCTTCGCCCAAGCGGCTGAGCCTTCCCAACACTGCCTGGGGCGGCGGTGCCATGGAGATCTCCGTCTACCCCGGGGCTGGCCAGCACCTCTCCGCCGAGGAAGAGGAGGACCAACAGTTGGCCGCCAACCGGCACAGCTTGGTGGAGAAGATTGGCGAGCTGGTGGCTGGCGCCCACGCCCTGGGGGAAGGCCAGTTCCCCTTCCCCACTGCCCTCGCGGGGTCCGGCCCCGGCGAGGAGACCCCCGCACCCCCCCCGGCAGCCTCCATGGACCCCCCGGCCGAAGACATGCTGGTGGCCATCCGGCGCGGAGTGCGCCTGCGCAGGACCGTCACCAACGACAGGTCGGCCCCGCGGATATCGTGAAGACGCCCCACCACCAG